TAGTATATGTATTCTTTATAAGAGAGGTGTGTACTTGTGGCAACTTAAGTGGCTTATTTAGTTTTAGTTTAGATATTTATTCATAATGAGTTTTAAAATTTTCTTTTATTTTCATAATTTCAAGACCAGTATATTTTAATTTTAAGTCTTTGGGTATTTGGAAGCATGCAGTCACCTACCTAGAGCAAGAAAACAGCTTTTTATGACCAGGATATGGCTAGTAAAGTTTTATTTAGGTGACAGGGATTTGAGGTTTTTGTACATCTATTTTTGTCTCATTTCTTTTACCAAATGCTAAAAACTTATTTTGTATCCTGAGCGTAAAATCTCTTAAAGTGCAAGGAATTGTCCTTGAACCATTTGAGATGTGTAAGGTCCAAGACTCTGCAAGGCCACATGGCTGCAGAAACACTGGATGAGGATGCTGTGTATTAGACTCCCAGGACTTTCGAGACCTTTTAGCTGGGGAGAGAAGAGGAAAACTTACCTAATTACGTAAGTGATAAAGTGTACTGATTATTCTAAAGCCCTTAAAGGCTGAAGGAAAGATGTTCTAGACATGCCAAGGATTAACAGTATATTGAATATTCAGAAAACTCTGCTTCCAACTCAATTATGTTAAGATAATATGACAGTCCAGTATGTGAATGTTAAAATCACAGCTGCTCAAGGATTTGAGCACTTTGTATTTCTACCTATTATCTTGCATTTAATACACTCTCTGTCTTGGATAGTGAAGCACTTTGGAATAGCTCGGAAACAGTCATGTGTGAAGGTGATTATGGTGGAATGGCTTTGGGAAAAAAATTGTCAAGCACTATTTTTTCTGAGAAATGGAAACTAGCCAACTAAGTGAGAGGCTATGTCCAGTTTACCTTCTTCCCTTACTCTGTGCCTTCTTTTCCTCCCCACTGCCTCCAGCTCCTTAAATCAGTAGAAGGCTGCTGAAGGTGCTACTGAGAGATTTGGGTGCAGGTGCAACATAAGGTTCTTGCTTTCTTGCAAATGGTCTCTCTTTTTTTCACTGTGTTGCTTGTAGTAGCCCCCAGATTTAGCAAGCTCAGCTATTCATGGACAGTATTGGTTCTAGTTCTACCAGGTGCACAATTAGTAAATTGTCTTCCAACCTAAGTGGGGAATGTCAGAGGGCAGTTCAGTATCTTCCACTGTGAATTCTTTGGCTTCCTTTAAATAAGCCATATCAAATGATCTGTTACTACCACTAATAATAGGGCTCTTGAAATGTGGACATACCTCTAATGAGAATCTATCTCAACCCATTGAATGTGGGCCACTGCTTTGCCACTGAATTACAGGCTCTGGTCATTGCAACCACAGGTGGTTTGAAACAAGAGGCTTACCTGCATTTAAATGATGAAGCAACAGAAAAGAAGTTTCTAAAATTCAGGATATTAATGCCTTACTGTAGGTTTTGCCTCACTTCCTAGTAGTTGGTAAATGGAGGAAGAGAGGACAAATGGCTGTATTGAGCTAAAAGTGAATGGAAAACTGTTTCTTTGTGTATTTTAATATAGCATATGAAAATTTTGGTTACTGTAGCTCTAGTATTTTAAAACCTAAATGAGAGAGTGAAATCAGCTTTAAGGTAGTCTTGCACTTTTTTTTCCCCCATTTTCTTTCTCTGTGGGGACAGAAGTGCACTGGATGCAGATAAGACTAACATGAGTGGAAAAAGTAGCACTAGAAACCTGCCAAGATAGCTGTTAGTTATGAAGTTGATATTTGTATTTACAGCATAGCTTATTACTATCATATAACCTGGAATGAATAAATAATTCCTGTTTTGTAGCAGATACATCTTAGCAGTAGGCAGAGTTGTGTCAGAATTGGTCAGTAAGCTTCATTCTATACACAGAAGCATCAAATGTTTCGGGTTCTCTGCCTTTTGTTAATGCACTATGAGGTCATAAACTAAATCAGATTTTCTGAATGACTACCTGACTGCAAATTTCCATACAACTGTCATTCATAGGGGGAAAAAAAAAAGGGAAAAATGCTTCTGCACTCTAGTGAGGGTGAAACCCTATTCACCCCCTCTTTTTTCCATAGTAAAAAAGCACAAGAAAGTCTACAAAAAAGATACATAGGTACAAACTTATGATAAAGGTTCATCTCTAAGTACCTAAAATCAAATAAACTTGCCTCTGTGTCAAGAAAATTTACTCAAATTATACTGTTGCTTTTCAAACCACTTGCAGAAAAAAAATAGATATTTCTTTTCACTAGATTTTATATGCTGAACACAACTGAGATCCTTGATGTTTGAATCTATTCAGTTGAATAGAAATAACCTTATTCATATTATACAGTGCATTCACATCTCTGCATGTATGTAGAAAGCCAGGTGTTAGTTATTCCCATTCTGTGCAAGTCTATTTTTCCACAGTGTTTTTAAATCTATACTTGTCTTTTGCTATAGAAGACTTTATTTATTTTATTTATTTATTTGTTTATTTATTTATTTTAAGGCCTTCACGTCTCTTTAAATGATCATTGAAAGAGAAAATAAATTGCTGTTAAAATTCCCTCTGGTGATCCCAGCTAACAGAACCACAACTAGTATGTTAAAAACAGTCAAACAAACCTCCCCCTTCTTTTCCTCATTGGTATCTATGTAGGTGAAAGCTTTGACCCCAGAAAGCTTTACATGATAGACTCTATTCAGATTCTTCTGTGAATCGTACTAAGGTTCCATGTGTAGACTTGACTATATGTCTCTGTGCTTGACATGGTAACTTCAAGATTTCTTGTTATTTAAATATACTAAAATGTAGTCTGTGTCAAACTGCAGGTGCTGCTACGCTTCTATTACAGCATGGTAACATTTGCCTTAGAAAAACTCTGAAACTGGTGAAAGAGTTAAGCAAAGCAGGCAGAAACCATTTCAGCTTTTACTTTGCAGATACAACCTTTTAAGCGTACCTACATTTACCTGCAATGGCAATCGTTTTGCATTTTAATGACAAATCAAGTATGCTAACTTGCATTTGAAACGAAAGTGCCTTAAATGTCTCTGGCTGTCAGAATGAGATGTTAGGAGCTTGATGAAAAGAGAACAAAGAAGACAAAGTATGAAGCCTAGATACAGAGCAAAATGAAATAAAACCTTGTATGGCCTGTCAGGGGTGTCAGTTGATATTCCTATCTAAAGCACATTATAGTATTACTTTGCAGCTCATAGCTTACTCATCTGTCTTTTTTAATTCATCACATTCTAGCCCACATCTTTTAAGTCCCATGTGTCAACAATGGAAGAAATCTGTTAATTGACAAATGAGTGTCACAAATGTGAATTGGTGCCTTTACATCAGAGGCAGGTAGTCTCTGTTGTTTTTTGTCGGCTCTATTATTGGCATAAGCCAGTGTAAGACATCTGTCTTTGCCAGAATGAGAGATGACAGCCGAAGAAGAGCTGTCATTGTTTTAGTGCATGTTCATTCTGCTGAGATACTGTATAAAGATAAAATGTCAGTTAAAAGAATATGAAAAACTATCGGGAGGAAGTCCTTAAATTACTTGGGAAGGGGATCCGGGAATTGGTGCCAGAATTGAAATCCGAACGTTCCAGTTTGCATCTATCACATCAATTTAAAAATAATACTTTCTGAGTAACTGGGTCAGTTTATAAGGCATTTAGGAAAACGTTATGTTGTGTTGGCATAATTAGCTCATAAGATGGAAGGAAAAACATACCTTCATAGGATATGAGTTTATTACAAGTTCATTTTTCAAACATGTATAGAATTGTCTCAATAAAAATATGCTGTGTAGCATCTCTGGCGTTGATTTGCATCTGTTTTGAAATATTGAAATTGCTCCTTTCCAATTTCTTTTTCTGTTATAGTTCTATTTTAGATTGATGAATAACATAATGAAATAAAAAGCATAGCCAGCTGTGAGTTGATGAGACAATTAATAGGAAGAAAATTATTAACATAGTTCCAGGGTGTCTAGAGAGTGTACAGTGTACAAGAGTTACTCCCAAATCACTAAACCCCTTTATTGCAATAAATGACTTTTTAATATCAGATAGCAAAAAAAATAGGAGGAAAATGTTTTAATGGATGAGGTGGAAAGGGGGAATACAATTGAAATGTCATAAAAGGCTGCTGTTTTACTTTTTACTTTGTATAAAAAAATCATAAGAAAGATAGATTGGCACATTCATCTTCAGCAGTTCTCACAACCCTGTGCTGTAAGTGCTGCAGGACACTCCCTGTGTAACCCCATCCTTCCAAAATGACCAGTCACTTGGGTTCTAAATGACCTTGTCTGAACTCCAGGGGTTTTGAGGACTATGTTGACAAAATCTTGTGAAGGACTAACTCATGATCTGTAGTGAGTCTAGCTGACTTGAAGTTTCAAGATAGATGTTTCTGAACAACAATTCGTTAAAAGTGTTAATTTTAAAATTACTTGTTTTTTGCATTTGAAATAGAGCTGTTAATATGGTGAATCTTAGAAATTCTCAATTATGATACTACTTAATACAGGTAGAATGGTCATTGGTCCTCTTTTTTTATTTCTTTTATTTATTTTTTTTAAACTTGCTTCTAGTGACTACTTGAGCAGCAGAAAAAAAAATCAAACTAATGTTCTCCCTCCCCTCCCCACCACTGAATGTGGGGCTCTCAAATTTTGTTTGTCTTTGACAGCTCTGTTTATCTCCAAGGTACCTTCTGGCTCTTACTTCAATCCATAGTTAATGTTGATTGTTAATTTAGTTTTAACTATTGATACCAGTAACAAAGTTGGATACTTCAAATAGGTGCTTGCTTCTATGGGTCTTCTGTGTATTAGGGTCTAAAAAGCTAAGAATGGGTAGCATGCAGCTTCCTTTTATTTTAACTATTTGGATAGAGATAATACTGCTTTGTAAATAGATTTCCTATAAAATAGAATTAGAAAAGAAAGGAAGTTTGTCTCTGGAAGGCCTACTTTTTTTTTTTTTTAAAAGAAGAAAAGCTAGTCTTTTCAAATTTCTTTGGAATTCATTTTGCTAGACAATATTTTAAAATAACATCCATGAAAATTAAGAGGTATTTGCTGCTTGGTTTGTGAGCCTTGGATGACTAAGTTTTCAGTGAAAGTCTTGTTCTTCCATTCCCATCTTGTTCTTCCATTCCCAACCTTCACTAGTTCTAAGTAGATGTTTAAATATCCAGTCAAAGGCTATGCTGTGGGTGGTGTTACATCTTTTCAGGCAGTTTTTCATCATATGCTCTGAAGTTCAGTATCCTTTGAGAATTGGAAAGACAACACTGCCTCCATTTTACAGATGGCAAAACTGAGTTGTGAGGAAGCCTTTTTGATAAACTTTACAGGCCAGATGTAATTATCAGCTCTTCATACCAACTTGCATAAACCACTTCTGCATGTTTGGAGAAGTCATGGATGATACTTGCCAAATCCATAGTGATTCTAGAGACAGTTTATTCTCATGTCCTACTTGGCTGGACTTTGTATTATCTGATAGCAGGTGTATCAGCAAGGTGATGATACAGCAGAGACTAAAAAGAAAGGATGCATTATAGACACAGAAGAAATTTCTTTGCCTTCAGATAGATTGAGATTTTCTCATAATTGTTCCCTTGTGGTTCAACAGTATATAATTATAAAAATAACAATGGTAACAGCAAAAAAAATCTAGACTAAGACTGTATCTTCTATTGTTGCTGGACTTCCTTCCTTTTCTAACTAAAAATCAAGAGATAATCAATAAGTATGAATACCAAATCTGGTCTCCCTTAAAGAAGTGAATTAATTTCTTTGTGAAAATTCATATGCAGGAAATACGGTTGGAGCTGGTTAAGTTACTGTCCTGTTCCATGCCAGGAAGAGACTAGACAAAACATTCGGCTTGTAGAATTCAGCTATAGGAGCATGTGTCACTGTCACTGTATTGTCACTGTTAAATTAGCTCTAGAAAGGGAAGATACTGGAATTTAACTACAGAGACATGGTGTGTGTGTGTGCACATACCCTCTTGGTGATTCCCCTCCCAACTGCCAGCTGTCATACAGAGTCTGAAACAGACAAAAATTTATTGGGTAGTATTTAGAAACATGTCAGTGGTAACGACTGGATCTCTGATTTCAATTATCACCTACTAAATTTAGGCTAATGTAGTGCATTTGTAGACCTGTTGAATGCACTTGACATCATGTTTAAAATATTTGAAACTGCACTGGTTTTTAATATCATACATTGACCGCTTTCTTTTTCCTACTCACATCTGGTGCATGGCAGCAGGCATCCCATGTGACCTATAAAAACTTCAGTTGTGCTAGTTTGAGTTTCTTTTTCTTCTTCAGATAATATTTCAGCAGAGGAGAAGAAAGTAGTCTGAGACTACAATTGGTTTAATGAAACTGCTCTAAGATCTGTAATTCACCGTTTTTCCTCCTTTACAATCAGTGTGTAAACAGCATTTTAAGCTTTATTCCTATATTTACCTTTATTTTTTTCATTGAAAATTCTTGGGATTTAGGGTCCTTGGTCATTTGGGTGCTCTTAAAACTATTTTAATAATAAATTACCTATAGTCACTATTTTTTTGTAGAATGACAGGTGAGATTTCGGGTGGAATCTGTGATTATACACCATTTCTAGTGTTATATTAGAAGAGATTAAAGTTTAAATCCAAATTACTGCGTTCTGCTTTGCTTATTTTGCAAAGATTTTATGTGCTCTTATTTTAGGATTTTTTAGGGGGATTATTTTTAAAAGAATGTTTTCTAAGTACTGGAATACTTTATTGGAGTGCTGCTAAGTAATTTTGTCTTCAAATCTTGTACTCTTTCCATACCTATCATCCTCACATGTATTTATGAAATTTATATGCTGATGTTTGCAACTCTGAGCTTATCTTCTAACTATTGGAATAGTAGCTATTGAAGTAATTTGTTTGGTAGCACTCAAGAGTACTAATCAACACAATCTTTAGTTTGTGTTTCTGTGAAAATATTATGAGCTTTTAAAGTTACATCCAGGTCTGCACGCAACTAATGTAAGAAACACAACAGTCTCCAAATATGTGTAGATTACTTGAAGTAAGTTCATTGTCCACATCTTCATAGTTACGAAGACAAACTTGGGGAATTCCAGAAGTATAAATATCCTCCTCCTTTAAAGCAAAATCCCAGCATGCTTATACTAATTTGGCTTTGTTGTGGTTTCTCATGTCTAGGAGTACATTTTTCAATAGTATTCACCATGGTAGTTAGCAGGTTCTTTTCCTGCCTAATGCTTCCAGACATCCTTTACATGGCTTATTCGTAAGAATCTCAAAGTTTATTTTAAGCTGAAATCATTTTTAAAAAAACCTGAGCATTTTATCTCTGAAATACAAGACACAATAGGAGAAGATTTCAAAATGGGTATTTGAAACATGCCTTCTGGGAGAGGAAACAAATCTTGAAGATTAAATTTTAGTAAAGTTGGATGTAGGCCTTCTGGTGAAATGTGTAAGGATGTACAGTCTTACTGATGATTTCTCATTTTCAGAATTGCTACAAGTGTCTTGAATGGTAAGTTTCAGGAGTAATTTCCTCTGAGGCTTATTTTATGGGGATTTTGTTTTGGTTTTGTTGTGGAAATTGTTTATAATTCCTTAGAAATTCTCCAAGCCAAGCATGGATGCAGATGGCATCCAATAATTGCAAGGGATCTATCTACCTAGTGGCTTCATGGTATTATCAAAGTTACCATCAAAAAGGAGCAATGTTTACTACTCTGATTAAAGCTTGTCCAGTGCAATCCTAAAACTCATAATTGATCACAAGTCACAGAAAATGCCTATCTAACTTCATTACATCCAGCCTACATATAAGCTCTGTTTGTCTTCCTTTCACAGAGATAAGTTTTTCTCAATGGAGAATCCATTTAATGTGAGCCCTATGTTGTTTTTACTTTTCCTTAAATGTTTGAAAAATGAAAGGTAGGATCTGAGAAGTTGTCAACATATAAATTTCAATCATAAACTAAGAACAGTCTAAGTTCTGAATAGCTTGTGGAACTTGCTTTGCTCTGTTGTTTGTTTCTTTAGTAGTTTGAGACCTCCTGATGAGTAGATTCTGTTCTGTGCCATCACTTCTAACCTGTTTTGTTGTTCCTACCATAATGCTGAGATTTTGGAAGCATGCAGGGTGGGTATTTCACTTGTTTGTTTTGATATGTTCTAATGATAGTGTATTGGTTTGCAAATATAGGGAATTTCTCTGCTGCTCAACTTTGCTAACCTTTCTAATTGCTCTGTACTCAGTTCTTCTCAAATCATTCCTGTGCTGCCTGACTGCTACCTTGGATGACCCAGTGATGGACAGTTGTGCTGGCTTCCACTTTATTCCCACAAATTCTTCTATTCTGTGTGGCTGCAAAAGTGTTTCCTCTGCTTCCAGGTATCTTATCTCACATGATAGCATAGTGCCTGCCAAGTGTATGTTTCTACAGCACCTAACTGTACTTTTGCCTTCTCCTTAAGTCAATAGGACAGTTATTGACTTCAGCACATCAAAGTGGAACTTCACTAACCTGTTACTCTTTGTTACAAGTCTGTTGTAGATGGTGCATCTGTTCTCGGCTTGCTATGTCAGAAGCGTGTGTACATACTCGAAGACTAGAGAGGGAAAAAAATTTATCATGTTGCTTTTCTCTCCTTGTTAAAGCTGATAGGTCTAATGTAGTAAAAATGCCTGTTACGGTCATGAACTTTAAACTAGGAGGCTCAGGACTTATATTGCATAAGCAGACAAATAAAGTATGTTTTATGTATCTGTAGAGGAGGAAGGTAAATACGATGGTATTTCTTATAATTTATAAGCTCCATCAGTAATAAGTGTTGAAGTGTATTAAACTTAATCCTTATGTTAAGGGCTTTGTCCTATTTTCTTATTATTTTTCACAAATGCTTCATCAACCATCATAGTCCTGTACAGTGATTTCTGTGTAGTAATCAGAGGTCATAGTGGAGAACTGTAATCAGAATAAACCTAAGTTTATACTTTGTGGACAAATAATAATTACTTGATTAAGAAGAAGCAAAAAGCATTACACAATCTCATAAAAGCCAAAAAGAAGGGACAAAAGTAGAGAAGGGTGAATGCTTACCTTTATTATTAATATGTGATTTACTTTTATTTCATGACTTCTGTCACACAGAGCTGTCCTTCTCTTGAATGGTCTGAATGTCCTTCAGGCATAGATCACATTTATTCTTGTTTTAAATGTGAACAAGTATTAATTTACTCCACTGGAAAGGAAATAAGATTACAACAAAGGAAGTTCATGTTGGAAAGAGTAGAAAGGAGTTTTATATTGATACTGGCTTTGCATTTTGATAACTCTTTGTGATGCTTTCTTATTGCATGACTCCTACTGGAGGGTGGTGGTGCATTATGTGAAAACAAATGTCTTGGGAACAAAAATGTCCTTTTCTGCCAAAGCTGGAGGATGGTTCTGACTCTTTTTTTTTTTGTTGTTGTGGTTTTTTTTAATTAATTATTTTAAAATTTTTTTCTCCTCCCTCTCCTTCAGAGAAGTCAAAGAAAACTGACACTGACAGAAGACAAAAATGTTATTTTTGATGACATCATGTATTACCCAAGCAAATATGCTTTGTGAAAGATTTTTTTTATGGTGTTGAAATAAAGAATCAGTGAATCATTCTTGAAGGAATATTGGTTCAGATTATTCTTCCTTCTATCCCCACTGCCCCACCCCTGCTTTTCCTTTTCTACTTTGTCTGTTTCTGGGGTTCTTAATACTGATGCTAGCTATGAATGATTGTTAAAGAAATTACCTTCAGTCCTTAAACATAGCTGCTTCATATGGATGGATGTTATGCAAGAATAATCTCTGCCATGAGACTGGAGGCCATACCCAGCTATAGCAGTATTGGTGCTGATTTACTGGCTCCCACAACATTTCATTGCAAATTAATTTGGAGCTGTAGTAAGTTTCCTTTGCTGAAAACCAGTAGCAGCAGCATCTATTAATGGAAGCTGAGTTGTTTTCAAACAGGTATCCATTTATAGATATCTGATTTAGTTAAACTGAACTTTGGCTATCAAATGCTGTGGATAAAACCAGTGACAGTATTTGTTGAGATGATTTTGTCATGAGCAGCAGAGAAAAAAGCAGATGAATAAAATACAGACCATATTGCAACACTGAATCAGTTAAAAAGAAAGCAAACTGGTAAAGTTATGTAGATTGCACTAGTTTTACAGACAATGCTAGACAATAAGGCTAAAAAGGAGTTGAGGTTAGTTACGTGAGTGGCTGAAAAGAGGTGATGACTCGGTGTAAGTCTCAGACTGTGACTTGAACAAAATTCTCAGACCAAATACCAATATCTTGGCTGAGATGCTGGGGGAGCATCTGTTGGCTGCTGGGGGTACAAATGATTCCAGAGACAGGGATGTCACACAAACCTTGTAAAAGCCTTTTCCTTTGCTGTTAGGTAAAACATGGAAATTTATGACTGTTTCATTAAATTCTTTCAATTTGCTGTAGTTCTTAACTCCAAGGAAATACAAAATATACAGAAACAATTGTGGAGATGTCTAAATTGGCACTTAATAAGCATTGCTTGATCCTTCCGTAGTCAATAATAGTTAGCCAACTGCACTCTGCCTAGTGTCTGAGGACCCAATGTAACCTTTTCACTAAAAGAAAAACAGCATAGATTTAAATAGCTGTTTATGCAACACATCTGTGCTAAAAGGAACCCAAACCAATGGTACAACCAAATTCAAGCTTGATTGTGATGACTGTGTTCATAATAAGCAACTCCTCGTTTTTTTAATTTTTTTTCCTGTTGTATAGATTGGACCTTTGATATAAAGTAAGTATTTAAACATTTTTTGCTATTATGTACCCTTCTGAATATACCATACATGCAATTGCCTTTTCAGCTAATGCTGTTCTGTGGAGGAGGGGCAGGGTTTGCAGTGGCACACAGCCTTTTCAGAAAGTTTGAAACTTGGGATTTCTGTGTTGTGTCAGGCAAGATGCTTCCTATCAATTTGTCTGAAGTGTTTTGTCACTGCAGAAACATAAGAAGAGGAAGGTGCAGCTGTTTCCACAAAAGCAAAATCTGGAGCCTCACGAGGATGTGGAAGTGTTGCCCATGGGCAAGACAGGGGCTTCATGCTCATGGTGAATTCCTGGCTTGTTCAGTGCAAAGCATCGAATCTCTTGCCTTACCTTTGCCAGGAGTCAGTGCTTTGCAGGGAGCTAAGAGTTAATGTACCTTTTTTCTGTACAAAGCAAGTGCTGCCATGTGATTTGGAGTCCTATCCCTCATTTCCCCTCAGTTTGAGCAGTTGTATGCTGTATCTTACTTTGTAATTCTTGAAGAGTCAGGTTGATTGATTTTTATTTAATATGTGTTAGGCCTCAACCTTTCCCCAGTCTCCTTTTAACCTTGTCAGATTTCTCTCTGGTATTCCTCCTTCTCCTATTTTGAAACCATTACATTGTTGTAATATAAATTGATTTACACCTCAGTTTTGGTAAGTATTTTTGAGAAACATGGAGAAACTGATGCATGCAGAAAAAATAGTTTTCTCTTGGGGAGACCCTGAATGTTCTGGGCATAGCTGTGAAGACTGAGTCCTTGCAAACTTTCAGTTTTCTTGTGACTTATTCAGCATAATCTATATAAAGACTACAGCAAAGTTGGTAAGAATTCTTTCATCATCTATAGTAAACATATACTAGCATAGCAGTACTATCTATCTACCTACATATCTATATAGCATATATCTGTCTATACTGTGATGTAGACTGTCGGGACACCTGAAAAGATGCCTGTTTTTTTTCCAGTTAAGTGACAGTCGTATAGCATGCACTTAACCATGTTCTTAATTGTTTTGTAATACAGGAGTGGAATTAATGTCCTCATGTGCTTTGCTGAGTCAAGATTTGGTGGATTCCTCTACTCATGTTTCATGCTGTTAACTCTCTACCGATGTTCTTTCTGCTAATAATGATAAAGTCACAAAGCAATTATACTCCCACAAGCTGTCCTTTAATAACCTTTGTCATTTGTCAGAATGCATTAGGCCCTTGCAAATTTTTACAGAGAGGCTGTTGGTCTTCATGAACTAATAGAGCGCTCTGATGTGCCAGCTCATCCTCCTTGCCAAATTGCTGTTGGTTCAGAGGGGAGCTCACTTCAGTTTAAAGAAAATATCTTACACCTCTTTCTATTAGACCAAAGGATTTTCAAACAAAATCAAAATCTAGGTTTTAAGCTTTTCAGTTGTCTTTGGATGTGAATGTAATGTATGTTAAACTAGAAAATGCATAATGATCTTCATATTCTAAATGATGATGGTCTTCTCATAACCACATATTTATGATGCTACATGTCTGTGAGCACTGGGGACTTAAAATACTGCTGTTTATACTACAAAGGTAAATGTAGTATACACAGTGTGATTCTGTCTTCTCCAATTATTTTTTTCTTAAATTAGTGTTACAATTGCAAGAAGTCAAGGTGTATTCCTCCTTGTAATTTACCAGCATGCAGTGGATAATTGGGGTTGGCATGTTCTTGGGTTACCTGCTGTAAAGGAAAGTACGTGGGAGGGAAAGAGACCGTTTAATATTTTGGTAACTGTCTAGAGTTAAGGATTAAAAGAAGTGATAATTCTATTGCAGTTGAGGTAATTTAAGTGTCTAAATTTTCCTTCAACAGATAGAGAGCTCTGATGCTTAGAGTACCTGTTGCGTCTGTACTGCAGGGATTGCTTTCTCCTTGGTAAAATCGTGTTGAAGCCTGATGGATCACTGTTACTTTGTAGATGTGTAAACTCCGGTATTCAGTTCTTGGGTACCCAAGGAAACAGATAAAATATATAGAAGCCAGTCAAATAAACATGCTTTGCTGACCTCTGACTGGAACTGGGATATATCAATAAACTGTATTACAGTTTTTAGTAGTCTGTGACCTTTTGAAATATTGAAATGTATTTTAGCATTGTTTCTATTTGGAAAATAAAGCTTTAACATGCTCTGTGTTCCACCCTTCTACCTGTTCTGACAGGGTTAGACTAGAGACTATGCATGTCATTAATGAACAGTGTAATTCACAAGAAATACGTCTAAATTAGCAGGTAAGCAACCATTACAAAAAGTTATTGACTTTGACAGAAGTCTTTTGTATCTGGTATCTTCTTTGGAGCAACCATTTTTTCTTTTTTCTTTTAAATATGTTTTAATTTTTTTTAAATTGCTTATCCCACCTGTGCTACTTCGTTATTGTAACAAGTGGGGTAAACTATGCATCAGAGAGATTTCGTTGTTGCGCTGCTGGTGTTTCTGTTACATCTTTTCTCTCTCTGTTGCTTGCACGAATATGCACATATATGTATTCTGTCACACTGTTGAGCTGTTAGTCTCAATATTGTGTGTGTGGCTTTTATTTTTATTTTACAAATACCCATCTGGCAACTGAAGACAAGTATTTTGTTGACAGATTAGAAAGGTTTAAGGTTTTTGAAGTTTGCACGTCCTGTGAAAAAGACAGGTCAATTTTTTCTCTCTGGGCATCTGTCTCTCATAAGCTCATAAATTGCTCTTGAAGCTAGATAGAAAAAATACTGAAGGCAACATCATATTTAAGAGTTTAAATGTGCTGATTGGAGTGTCTGAGAGCCTAACCTCAGGCAAAAGGTCTCCTGTTCAGTCTTTTTGACTGATGTAGAGTGGTCCACTGTTAATAATTTAGTTTTGAGACCTACTAAATGAAAAATAGGAGGCTCATAGCATCAGTATCACTGTTGATCTTCCCTAGAAAATATGAACTCGTTGTATTTTGATGTATGTTTCCATTCTTTACACACTTGACTATTCTCTAATGTAGCCACTGCATCTGAATTTTTTCCTTAATGAGCAATGTTTTTATATCTACAGAACACATAGCTTGCCCTGCAGGACCTTATGTTCACTTTTAGTCTGCTCTATTTGTGTAGTAAATAAAAAATGAGTAACACTGCCATTAGCCATTTTATATGCATTGCTCCTGACCATGCTGGTGAGTAATCTGCTGAAGAGTGTGCACGTCTTCAGTTTGTAGCAAAATGGGGCCTGTAATAATTTCATCTTTTAAATTAACATAAAATGCATGGCAACAGATGGAACCTTTGTTTAAACAAGGATTTTGATGGCTGTGTAAAAGCAATGTGCTATAGGTTTAGGTCCAGTCCTTGCCAGATGCAAGTGTGTTGTACTTCAGTCTCCCATTTTAGTAGGTATAAAAGAGATAGAATGCAAGTTGGATTATCTCTAGATTGTCTCCTGGAGTTCTAAAGCTTATTTGCTTTAATAAAGGCTCAGTATTTTGCATTGGAGAATGTCTGAGGCAACTTTGGCAAAGATGTGTGAGGCAAATATTTCTTGTGTTGTTTGAATCATTGTTCAGCGAGGGTTGTTTTCTTAGCAAAATGTGACATCAGATTACACAAAAAAGTTTTGAAAAGTTATTTTTATTCTCTGAAAATAGGTGTATTTTCTGAAATAGTGTGTGGTTTTTATAGATTTTACAAGTGAACACTAATTCTTCTGAAGTTAAATAATTATGTATGTAGTCAGTAGCTTGCTGAAGAGCTTTTTTGTTTTTTTTAAGAGAGTGTGAATATGAGAGAGTTGAACAG